CCAGAATCTGTGACTTTCAGAGGTTTCCCTAAAATGTTGAAGAGAATCTGATCCCAAGTTCTCTGGGTGGTCACGTCATAAAAGTTACAAATTAAATGAGAATAAATTTCAGACATATTAAGACACTTTGTGAATAAATTATTTACTCAGCATTTCTCTGTTTATTCCTAGTATGTATTTGTAAGCAGTTGTCTAGTTGCAGCTCCGTGAGCCACAGGCTTAGTATTTAATCAAACAAGATTAGGAGGAGTTTAATGCTGCCAAATGACTTGATTTTATTCCCCCCTCGAGAAGGTTTTGTCCATTTCAGCACGACTGTGTCAGAACTCAGTGTAAATATTCAGGCAGTGTGGGTCCATAGAGTCCTGGAGCCAAAGAACCCAAATATGAGCAGAAATAGACGTAAAACTTTAAAGTAATGCACAACTACAACGTTCACTTACAGAAAGAACTACAAGTAAAATAATAATAATAATAAGTCACAATTAATATCTGAGTAGGCATTAGAGCTGCACAACAGAAGAACAGTTGCTGTGCCCACAGCACTGGTGTTGGCAACATTTAATTATTGGTATTTAATGTTAGCGATGCTTTAGCTTTGTTTAGTTCAATCAGCAAACTGCTGGAAGTGTAACAAACAGCAGCAACATTTTATCCGTGAAGTCAGTCGTGATGCATCAGAAACTGCTGACAAAGCAGCGACACACAGATGTTCACTGAGGTTTTACTTTTTTAACTTTCCTTCACTGTGCCTCAGAAATTAAAACACACTTTACAAACCAGTCCTGTTACCAGTATAAAAACTGTCACTTCACCTCGTTTTAATCTTGTTTTATTAGTAGAATTAAGAATAAAAAGTGATCTTTTGATTGGACCACTCAGCCTGCACTCTGATCCACTTAAAGCAGTGTCCTCCTCATGCTGCGTTCACTGACCTGGCTCTGCAAGCTGCTATCCTCTGACTGCAGTTCCCATAAGCATGGCTGTAGTGGGGCAGCTGGTAGTATCCGTCCTGTCCTCGGGCCTCGTCGGCGGGCAGGGCCTTAGGGCTGGCCGCGTAGATAGTGCATCCCATGAACACCTCCTGGAAGTCACCCTCGGCGTCCTGTGAGGAGTACGAGCCGTCCTTCAGGTACCCTTCCTGTGAGCGGCCTGTCCTGTCCTGATGCCAGCCAGCTGCTCAGTAGGAAAGCCATTGGCTCAGCACTTTGGTGTCTTAACCCCTCCCTCCTCCCCCCTCCTCCCCCCCGGCAAGCATGGAGGATAATCAGATTTCACATTTACACTCAACAAAATCATCCCCGGCGTAATCGCTCCTTGTCACTGCTGTTGCATTATCCTAATGCACAGAGCTCGGGAGCATTAGGAGCGCAGATAAAAATATCCCGACCGCCCGAGACAAGTGAACGCCACATCAGGCACAAACAGTTAGAGGGTCTGAAATGACACAGAATGATCAGAACTGTTTTAAACATCCATTTCTGTGTGAATCATTGAACGTGTTGAAAGATGATCTTTATATGGCTTCATTTAAAACGTACTTCACAAAAATCTGAAGAAAATAAAAAAACACTTCAGTTTGAGACGTTAGTGCCAGTTTTACATCATAGGGGACTTAAAGAACGCATCTTTTGTTTAACTACGAGTAATAAAGCAAAACACTAAAATGTAACCATAACCTCCTTCCATACCATGCAGTTTAAAGTTTAAACAGCAGATGTATCCTGTTTGTATGCTCAGAGTTACATAACTATTTACCACTGAAGCTGGGAACCCAAACCCAGATTTTAAAGGATGAGCAGGGTTCTCCTAATCTTCTTGCTGTTTCGTAAATATGCACAAGTATTTCCCCAACAACACAAATGTTGCAGCAGATGGCACATCGAAGTCTTACTTAGGTGCAGCTGTAAAAAAGTTCAATGTGGACAGAGATGTTGGACTGTGTCCTCTACAGAGACACTGCTCTCCTGTGGTCACATGGGACAGTACACTCTGCAGCCTCAGCACACGGCTCCAAGAAAAATATAGAAACGTGCACAAGTTTTACATGTTTGCTTTAAATGAACCTCCATTTTTTTTGTGTTCTTTAAAAATGATCCTGGGCGCTGGTTCTCAGACTTTCTGAGGGTCCAGGTCTTTGTGCCAGACCTCTTAAAGTGAAACCTTCAAAAGTTAAAAGAGCCAAGAGCTGCATCGTCCATTTGATCTTCTGCAGCTCAAGTTTTCATGTCAAACTCTTGTCTTCATTTTTATTTTGATAAATTTAAAGAAATGAGAACAAATTTTTAGCCAAGTGTCCAAAAGTCTGATTTCAATTTTTGTTTTTACCAAGTGGCTTGTGAATAAAACTGCTCCATTAACTGAATTTAGGAGCCTTTTATATCTGAAATATTCTGAGAGTCAGGAAACAAACAGAGAAACTTTTCTGAAAATAGTCGTGTACTGGACAGAAAATGAGTTAAAGCAGCTAAAGTCCAAAGAAAATGTGTCAGCCCATAGAAAGCCAGTGAAGACCACTTAAACAATTATAATACACTCCTGTACCTTAAAAGCAAAGTGCAAATGAGAGGATGGTTTAAGACTTTTCAACACTAATATATGAACAGTAGTCCCTCGCCACTTCGCAGATGGAATTTTGTGGACTGGCTCTTTTGTGGTTTTTCAAAATAAGATTGGACATGACACACAAATGGCTGATTGATGGATGAGACGCACGATCGGCATGGATTTTTTAAATTTAAAATAAATGATTTAAAATTATTTAGCACCTGCTGCACCTAGGCCTGTCACGACAACAAATTCTTTTGGGCGATTGTCTCAGAAATTATTGAGATAAACGATAATATTGTTTGAAATTTGACAATAATTACTAATTATTGCCAAATTTAAGAAGAAATGTTGGTTAACTTGTTTCGAGTGCAATACTTTTTTCGACCACCGGATGACAGTACTACTTTTTGAACCGAAGGATGGATAGTGAGGGAGTGAGCAGTGTGTCTCTAAGAAGAAAAAAAAAAAGGCGTATCTTGAGTGCCACCTTTGATTGCACGATAAGAAAAAGGCGTTATTGGACATTGGCGGTGACGCCATAACTTTTTTTTTGGTTGGTGAATTATGAGAAAATAGTTACAATCAATTCATAAAGAAAGAAAAATAAAGTAACCAAAATATTAATGATACTTAAACTGGCTTTGGGACAAAGGATGTTTCCTTTAACTTCACATTTTCTTGTTCAACCTTTTAAATCAGTCACTGCAGATGAGTGTAAGATTTCTGCAACTGGAGCAGGCATTTCTGTTTACTGGTTAACTTCCTCAGCTGTCTCACATTTTAAGGGTCAGTCCTACTCCATGTTTCAGCTCCTGTCATAGATCAGATCATAGAAGAACTTCTAAAGAGAACATTTTGTTTTTAGATTTTGTTTTGGGCCGTTATCTCATTACAGGACTCATGATCTTTAATTGAGACCAGACTTTTTGACAAATAGAAGCAGGTTTCACTTCAGATGCTTCATATTTCATTGTACCCGGACCACACTCAAGCTAACCTGTGTCAGGTGCAGCTACAACCAAGAACAAAAGAGAATCTTCTTGTTTGACAGCAGATATAACGCTGTTTCTTAGAAACCTTCAGTTTTAATAAAGAGCTGACATAACTTACCCAAAGAGCAGCAAATACAGCTAGCCAATCAGTGTTTGTCCTTTAGAAACACCCACTTTCAGTCTGCAGAGAACCCCTTCTTTGGCAGGGAGCAGAGATCATGAAAGGCTGGAAGACCCAGCCACGACCCATCTTCAATGTTCTGAGGGAAGGAGGTTGTTCCCCAACATCTCACCATACATGGCCCCGGTCATCCTCTCCTTAATACAGTGCAGTCGTCCTGTCCCATGTGCAGAAAAACACCCCCAAAGCATGATGCTTCCACCCCCATGCTTCACAGTAAGGATGGTGTTTTTGGGATGGTACTCATCATTCTTCATCCTCCAAACACGGTGAGTGGAATTAAGACCAAAAGTTCTATTCTGGTCTCATCTGACCACAGAACTTTCTCCCATGACTCCTCTGGATCATCCAAATGGTCATGGACAAACTTAAGACGGGCCTGGACGTGTGCTGATTTAAGCAGGGGAACCTTTCGTGCCATGCATGATTTTAAACTGTGACGTCTTACTGTATTACCCACAGTAACCATGGAAACAGTGGTGCCGAGGGAGATTGACAGTCATGTTTAGCTTCTTCCATTTTCTAATAATTGCTCCAACAGTTGATCTTTTTTCACCAAGCTGCTGGGAAATTGCCCCGTAGCTCTTTCCAGCCTTGTGGAGGTCTACAATTTAGTGTCTGGTGTCTTTGGACAGCTCTTTGGTCTCAGCCATGTTAGTAGTTGGAGTCTTACTGACTGTGTGGGGTGGACAGGTGTCTTTATGCAGCTAACAACCTCAAACAGGTGTTTCTGATTTAGAATAATAAGTGGAGTGGAGGTGGACTTTTTAGAGGTGGACTAACAGGTCTTTGAGGACCAGATCTGATTGGCAGCTGTTCAAATACTTATTTACATCAGTAACACACAAATAAACTGTTTACATAAATCTTACATTGTGATTTCTGGATTTTTTGTTTTAGATCATGTCTCTCACAGTGGACATGCACCTAAGATGAAAATTTCAGACCCCTCCATCATTTCTAAGTGGGAGAACTTGCAAAGTCACAAGGTGTTCAAATAATTAATTATATATATATATATATATATATATATATATATATATATATATATA